TTCATTTTGTTTGTTCGCGAAAAACATATGTAGAAAAAAAAAGCTTCTTACCTTCCTACCAAAAATTTCATTCTTATTTGATCTTGACTCTCTCTCTCTTTATATATATATATATATATATATATATATATTATATATATATATATATATATATATATATATATATATATATATATATATATATATATATATTATAATGTCGGACGATTTTAAAAATGGATTTATAAAATATAAAATAAAAAAGAATTAAAAACCGATTTTATATAGTTGTTCGAATTTATAATGTCATCCGATTTATAAAATATTGTTTGAAATTTATAATAATAATAATAATAATAATAATAATAATAGTATTATTATTATTATTAAAATATATAATAAAAAATAATTAAAAACTGATTTTATATAACTGTTTAAATTTTATAACGTCGTTCGAATTATAAAATTTTGTTCAAAATTTATAACAATAATAATATTAATATTAATATTAAAATATAATAATAATAATAATAATAATAATAATAATAATAATGAATTAAAAACAACAAAAAAATAGAAAAAAAAAAAAAAAAAAAAAAGTCAAATAGAGGTTGAGTTGGAAAAATAATGGGGTATTTATAGAAAACCCCTATTGTTTTTAGTCATTAAACTGTTAAATTAAAATTTTCTTATCTGTAAATGCAAAAATATAAAAGTATAATATATAATCATTAATAGACAGTTATAACGCCAAAAGAATAGATAAAATACAAATACATTTTTGTTTTTTAATAGTATTTTACACATTTAAATACATGTAAAAGAAAAAATAAATTAAACATTTATACAAGGTGGTCCATGGTGAAAATGAAGCCGCTTTCTGCTGACAATCTTTGTCTGCAGATGGCATAGTGAGTGAAGTACTGAAGCACTAAAGCTTGTTTATAGCTTCTAACTTGCAAATATCTCTGATCATGTCTCCAACACTTATTACATATATACATACTGCATACATAATTACATACATACTATTTGTTGATCATCTTTAAACTGTTTCCAATAATTTTTTTTATGTGAATCTATGATAAGATATATTGTATCATTCTGTAGGAAGTTAAGATAGTTTATAACCCAAAATTAGATTCAAAATAGAATATTCATATACATCTCGAGCTGTTTAGCAAGTGTGTGTTACTTTATTATTATTATTATTATTATTATTATTATTATTATTATTATTATATTGTATTAAAGTGCCTGCCTTCCTGTAACCATGAACTCATTCGTCTTTTTAATAATAAAAACAGACTTTTTTTTCTTTCGATTTTGGATATATATCATGTGGTGAATATTATGAGGTTAAACAATCAAGTGCCCTTTTGAATTTGAGCAATGAGGTTGGATGGATCATGTCTTCTTGTGGTCAAATTATTGGTGCATATCTGGCGTTTATTCCTTCTTATAAATTATGTATCACATAAAATAATAACACCTTTTTATCTATAAATAATCATTTTTCGAATCCCCTAAGTTAAGTATGTAAAAGTATGAATATGTAGGCCCTCTTCATATTAGTTGTAAGTTGTAACAAAAATAATAATGAAATAGCTTCATGGTTCCAATCGAGTATTGAGTATCGAGAGTTTGAGATTAGAGGTGTACACAACAACCGGTTCTTTTAGAAACCCGGGCCGGTTATTGAAAATTGATTTTTTAAGGATCGGTTAAATTAAAACCAAACCACTGGTTAGGAGTAGTTATTTTTTTCTTTTTAAATATGAAACCGATTTTTCTAAGAAACCCGAACCAAACCGCTGTTTTAGCGCAACTTCACACATAAAAACACTAAAAATTATAATTGAAACCAACCTAGAAAAACTCAATTATCTAAAAACCAGTTTTTAAGAAAAAAAAATATACCGCATTTCTGCACCTCTCTTTAAGATTGAGACTACTATTGGCTTTGCTTACACAAAATGGTGTAAGCCCATTGGGTTGTGCTCTCTCTTTAAGATTGAGACTACCATCGGCTTTGCTTACACAAAATGGTTTAAACCCATTGGGTTAAGGTATACTTTACAAGAATATAGAAGGGCTGGTTACACTATTGGTTTACAAGAATATAGAAGGGCTGGTTACACTATTGGTTTTCATTGTTGTAGTTTGTATGGCCCAACAATTGTCACTATGTTTACACTCTTACCGGACCTGCACATTTACAATTTCAGATCAGTCTTTGATCGGTCTTTAAACGGTCCGGTTTTTTTATGGTTGGTTTTGGAGCGGTCTAGCATTTTTTCGGATCGGCCTTTTCTAGTCTCGAGAAGGTTCTTTTCGCTTCAGTCATTTTTCAGACCGGTCTCTTTCGGTCTAATCTTTTTTGAGACAAGTCACGATCTTTTTCAGTCCGGTCTCGCGGTCTTTCCGTACACTTTTTTCGGTTCGGTTTTCGAGGTTTTTTGGTTGATTTTCACGTTTTTCGGCATGGTTTTGTTTTTTTTAGTTTCAGTTTCGAGTTTTTCTCTTAATAAATGTGCCATTAACACAGATGATAGATTAAACTTTTTTAAAAATGATAAACTAAAGATTAAAAAAAGAAAAAGAAATGTAGTTAGATACCGTGTGATTCAAAATTGTGTAATTAACATAAAAATGAGATATTCAGAAACTTTGACCTCTGATCCTTTTTGAGATTGGTCTCAGACCGGTCTGGTTGGTTTCGGACCGATCTTGCGTCGGTCCAGGAACGGTCCGGTTTTTTTTGGGATTGGTTTAAGAATGGTACAGAAAAAAGTTTTTCCCAAACCGGTCTTGGACGGTTTCGAAATGGTCTTTTTTTGGTCGGGTCTTTTTTTTTTGTTCAGTCTCGTTTTAGATAGGTCCGATCTCGATCTTTTTTCGGTTTCGGTCCGAAACTAATCTTTTTGTGCAGGTCTACTCTAGACTCTAGAGGTGAGCAAAATGATGAGTTTTGGAAATTCAAGTTTTTTCCGAGTCTTTTAAATTATTATTATTCATATAAGGTGTTAGGTGCATAAATTGTATCTTTTTCATACTTATTTCATGTTTAATCTTAGGACAACTGTTCCAAAAAAAAATGAAAAATATTGATGGCCATCATTTACGATTATTTATGTTGAGTTTGGAAAGCGAGGAATGACAGTTTTTTCAGCAAAATTAATGTTTCTTCTTCGAAACCGGCGGACAATGGGCTCTCGGTGCTGTTTGGTTGGATTAAACATAGGGGGAAGTTCAGGGTTTGTAATTGGTCAAATTGGGTTTGTTCTCCCTTTAAAATCTTGTAACTTTGTACATTTTGTTCTTTCTTTTGCCCGACCTTTTTCCGTTTTAGGCTTTGGTCTTTAATAAAATTTCATCGTTTCCAAAAAATGTTTCATGTTTAATTCAAGAATTACATATCATATTAGTTTAAGTTTGCATGCATTTTTGCATTTTCGGGACATTTTCGAGGATCAATCTACTTTTGATAGTTTTTGTTGGTGTTTCAACGGCGTTCGAGACTTTGGGCATGCTTAGGATGATGAAGGAAAACACTCTACAAAATTTTAGAATTTTCGGAGCAAGATTGAAGAAAACGAGATTTTTGGAATTTGACACTTTAACATAGTGAGTGAAGCACTAAAGCCCTTTTATAGCTACTAACTTGCAAATATTTCTATGAGAGGACTAAGATAATATGTTGTTTAGTAATGTAAATACGTTTAATCTCACATAATAATTATCATTTATACATTTTCACTAATTAAATCCACTATAAGGGTAGTATGATTTATTTATTTATTTTAATAATAATCAGTATGTCAGAATGTGTTCTTGATAAATGTATTTTATAAAAATGAGAATGAGTGAATATGAAATTAATGAAAATGCGTGATAATATCAATAGTTGTTGGTACTATTGTACCAAACAATTTCTTGTATTTTATACATTTTGTTTTCCACATTATTTTCATTTTCAAATGCAGCTACAAAGTTATTTCGAGACAAATTACTTAGTGTATTATACCAAACACGTTTTTTTATTTTATATATTTTGTTTTCAGCTTCATATTAATTTGTTAATTCGTGTTCTTGATACAATAACAATTTGTACAAACCAAATTCATTCATTAGTAGCCAAACAAATTGGTTAAATATACTTGTTACAAAATATGTAGCTAAATTAATATATTATTTAGAGTTATTGTTAGAAAATTCCTAAATGCCTTCATTTTTGGTAAAGCTAGTCTTATTTTAAAAGTAGAAATGACCCATTGTTTTTAATTATTTTAGATCTATGTATCTTTTATATTACACAAATAATTTTACGTATCAACATTTTATATTAATTGATTTTGTTAAAAATATATGATTAATAACCTATCAAAAGATCATTACCGCACTTGTTACAAAGTTATAATCCTTTCAAGTTTCATCTCATATTTTTAGTTTGAAGTCTTAATTTTTTAATTTTAATCTTAAATATTTTTATTTGTCTTATATATTATTTGATAAAACTTATAATAATGAAAAAACATTTAAAACATAATTAATTCATATAGTTTATATCAAGTATTATATATAAAAAACAAAATTATATAAGATTAAAGTTGAAGATAATAAATACTTTAAAAATTAAAAAAAAAAAAAAAAAAAAAAGACAATAAATATGAAACAGAAAGAACATAAAATTATACCATGTCGCAGTATTATTTGAGAATTGAATACTTTTAGAAGATGAATAAACTATTTAAAACTCGAGTCTCATGACTTCATGTTTTGAGATATTACATCATAATCTCATATAGAAGTGTTTATAGTTGTCACGTGTAACAGTATTATTTTAGAAAAATATTACGTCCAAATAATATTTGTACATTATAAAACGAAACCCCTAGCATGTTCCATGCATCAACCACGTCTAAATCACAAGGCTTCTCTAGAACCCTCCACTTCCTTCTATTTTCTTCCAATTGCCCATAATTTCTCAATTCTTCTGTACTGATTATAATAAACCCTTTCACCTCACTCCCATACACACTCATCTATTCAACTGCTTAGCAATTAGCATTCTTGATTTCAAAACACACCAAGATTCAATTCATCCAAATGTCTACAACAACTCTATCCCCTTCTTGTTCCTTCAAACCCCACATCATCGATCGTAGCTCTAATCCAAGAACATCTTTTTTCGGCAAACCCACATCGTATAGCCCGAGATCATGGACGTTGAGACCTCAAAGGCGACGCGTGTTGAAGGTGGTGAGCGAGAAGGTGGTGGGAATCGATCTGGGTACGACGAATTCGGCGGTGGCTGCTATGGAAGGAGGGCAACCGACAATAATTACGAACGCCGAGGGGCAGAGGACGACGCCGTCGGTAGTAGCGTACAGTAAGAATGGAGATAGGTTAGTAGGTCAGATTGCGAAACGGCAGGCGGTGGTTAATCCGGAGAACACGTTCTTCTCTGTGAAGAGGTTTATTGGGAGGAAGATGATGGAGGTCGATGAAGAATCGAAGCAGGTTTCTTACAAAGTGATCAGAGACGATAATGGAAATGTCAAATTAGATTGCCCTGCTATTGGTAAACAATTCGCCCCTGAAGAAATTTCTGCACAGGTACCCACTTCAATTCATCTTCATCGATCTCTATTTATCGTTTAATTCGATGAAATTCATCTTTTCATTCAACGAATTGTTCAATTTAGGTGCTGCGGAAGCTAGTGGATGACGCATCGAAGTTTTTGAGTGATAAAGTTACGAAAGCAGTGGTAACAGTGCCAGCATATTTCAACGATTCCCAAAGAACTGCGACCAAAGATGCCGGACGAATTGCAGGTATTGAGGTTCTTCGCATTATCAATGAGCCAACTGCTGCTTCATTGGCTTATGGTTTTGAGAAGAAAAACAACGAAACAATTCTAGTCTTTGATCTTGGTGGTGGAACGTTTGATGTTTCAGGTAATTTTCCCTTTCTCATCTGTGAAATTATGATTGCCTAAATAGTTCTAGTTCTACCCTTGCGCCATTGATAACTTAGATTCATCTTTATGCAGTGCTTGAGGTTGGTGATGGTGTTTTTGAGGTACTTTCAACCTCAGGAGACACCCATTTGGGAGGAGATGATTTTGACAAGGTGAGGAATTAGGATCATGTCGCGTGTAACAAATTCATTCTTGATAACCAAATCTCTAACATGTTTCTTGAATTTTAAACAGAGAATTGTTGATTGGCTTGCTGAAACTTTCAAGAGGGATGAAGGTATAGATCTTCTTAAAGATAAACAAGCACTTCAACGTCTCACAGAAACTGCTGAGAAAGCAAAGATGGAGTTATCCACTTTGACCCAAACTAATATCAGGTAGATGATGCGTTTTCAGTCTTCTTTTTTTTAGTTTGGTTTCTTTCATGGCAAGTTTTTCGATCATGGGTTCTGTTTTTTGCAGTTTACCTTTTATTACAGCAACATCAGATGGCCCAAAACATATTGATACTACACTAACAAGGGCAAAGTTTGAGGAGTTGTGCTCAGATTTATTAGACAGGTACTTGAGTTAATTTGTTTGCTTGATGATTCAAGTAATTGTCGTTCTTCAAGATGATAACTTTCGAAAACCAATTTGTTTGGAATAGGCTAAAGACGCCTGTTGAAACAGCTTTAAAAGATGCAAACCTCTCTCTGAAAGATCTTGATGAAGTGGTTCTTGTTGGTGGATCAACACGTATCCCTGCTGTTCAAGAGCTTGTTAAAAAGATGACATCTAAAGAACCAAATGTCACAGTCAATCCAGATGAAGTTGTTGCTCTTGGAGCTTCGGTTCAGGTCTGTATATATATCCTATCTTTACTCCAATTTTCAACAACAGTTTAGGAAAAGGTCATGACGATGTTGCCTTTTATAAATTTAGGCTGGTGTTTTGTCTGGTGATGTGAGCAATATTGTGTTATTAGACGTGACACCATTGTCGCTGGGTTTAGAAACCCTAGGAGGTGTGATGACGAAGATCATTCCAAGAAACACAACACTTCCAACCTCCAAATCAGAAGTATTTTCGACAGCAGCTGATGGTCAAACGAGTGTTGAAATCAATGTTCTTCAAGGGGAAAGAGAATTCGTACGTGATAACAAATCTCTTGGAAGCTTTCGATTGGATGGAATCCCTCCAGCTCCACGTGGAGTCCCTCAAATCGAGGTCAAATTTGATATCGACGCCAATGGTATCCTTTCAGTCACAGCCATTGACAAAGGAACAGGAAAGAAACAGGACATTACTATCACTGGTGCTAGCACATTGCCTTCCGATGAGGTATGATTTAGGGTTAATATACAACGTGATATGCTCTGTTTAGGGTTAATGGATATTGAGGAAAATTTTGTTGTTATTGTAGGTGGAGAGGATGGTGGCAGAAGCTGAGAAGTATGCGAAGGAGGATAAGGAGAAGAGGGAAGCCATTGATACAAAGAACCAAGCTGAATCGGCTGTGTATCAGTGTGAAAAACAGCTGAAGGAAGTGGGAGAGAAGGTACCTGATGAAGTGAAAGAGAAGGTGGAGGCGAAGTTGAAAGAGCTTAAAGATGCGATATCTGGTGGGACAACTCAGAGCATGAAGGATGCCATGGCTGCGTTGAATCAAGAAATGATGCAGGTTGGTCAGGCTATTTACAGCCAAGGTGGTGGTGGTGGTGCTGCTGCTGCTGCGAGTGGTGGTGAAGGTGGTGAAGCTGGTAAGGGGTCTGGTTCTGGTGGAGATGGTGATGGTGAGGTTATTGATGCTGATTTTAGTGATAGCCAATGAGATTGCATAGCATATTAGGTGGAATATGTGTGTAAAGATGTATAGGTGATTTGTAGATTGTTTTGTTGTTTTGGTTACACTGATTTAATCGCAAAACTGTAGTTTGCTAATATGATTTTGTTGCGAGGAAAGGAATCTAGATTTGAATTGAAACACAGCTAAAGTTTCTTGATGAATGACTGTGGCGTTCAAAAACCGGTTTTTTAATTGAACAGCACCGGTTTAACCAATTTGATCGTCAGGTCAATCGGTTTCTATAATTTTTATTTTTTCTTTCATTTTTTTTGTTTATTCATACATAAATAAATAAAGAATTTATTGTTTAAGATTAATTCAAATTCATTAAAATAATAAATAATTGTAAGTTTTATATAAATCCATATATATCAAAAAGAAAAATAAATTATAATGTTGAAACGAAATATAATTTTAGTTAAATATAAATATATCAAAAAACTTCATAATATTTATCACATTTTTCTATTTAGAAAAATCCAAATAGATTTAAAAAAGATCACAAAAGTTTATTAAGCAAAACGATTATTTTTTCATATGTTTTACCGGTTCAAATACCGGGTCTTTGAAAACGGCCGTTTCGTTGTAGCTTAGAAGTAGGCATAAAACTGATAATAGTTGAACCGTTTATTTTATCGGTTTCTAGTCCAACCGTTTGGTGTAGCCGATTCAAATTAGTTTTTAAAACATTGACCACGAGATCTCCTCCTACCCTATGTACCCCATGGCCCAACCTTTTTAGGTATTGACATTGCTGAAGAATCCACTTTTCCAAAGAAGCAAATTACACACTGATATGAAACTTAATTTGGGAATGTATGGAAAAAAGGCAAGTCATCATAGAGTTTGTAGCTTCAAATGAACAAATGCCATGATGATTTTTTTTTTTTTTTTTTTTTTTTTTTGAACGGGAAGTCCATCCAAAAATGTAAAGTTGAAGCATGTGCGATTCAAACATTGATAAGTTTAAAGCAAAAAACATGGTGAAACACAAAGAGGATGTCGAACTGAGAGGCAAAATATTGAGGACTCATTTCGGACCAGTGGGCTCATAGGACAGCCAAGGCATGGGCTTGAAGGCTGGCCCAATCTTTGGCTAGTTTTAGTGATATTTTTCAATTTCAATTAGTACTTTATTATATTTTTAAGATTAAGATTAAGAATGTGTTTGTTGATTGCTTAGTCTCCAAGCTCATATGTTTTGTAACCTCCTCACTATCTCCTTGATTTAGGGTAGTGGGTTATATGGGGGTTTAGGTATTTTGTTATAAATAAGAGTAGAATATGACATTCGTCAGTCTCCAAAGTAAATAGGAGTAGAATATAGCTAATTTAGCATTGTAATTTATGACCTGTTTCCTTGTAATTATTTGCTAAAAACATCAAGCATTTGGTCCAATATTTTTCCTCTTTTTTCTTTGTTGATGACTTGAAAACACACACGCAGATACGAAATCAGTCCCTGTTTCTAAAAACCCAATCAGCCCAACTTTTGGTGTAAAATTTCGCTTTCCATATTGGAGCTTTCATCGCACTAATAATTTGTAAAGTATATTAAGGTTCGACATTGTAAAGTGTAAATAAGGTTAAAATGAAGGCGAATATATTTAAATCACATCTTGATCATAGCCTAGAGATCATCCATCTCACGAAAAACACAAAGAAACACAGATTTCTTCATAGTTAATTAGGTGGACATAGACGCGTTGAACAGTACTACAGATTCGCCAGTTGTTGAATGTTGATTGGATAAACAACATCAGTACCACCACTGAAAGCCTTCCTCCCCATCAACACATTCACTGCTTCTGTTGGATGGAACGCATCCCAAAACACATACTCGTTCCTATTCGGACATGGTGTTTGAAATGGTAAACATGTTATCTGCCCTCTGTTTCTCCCTATCCCACAACATCCCCTATTCACCACTCGAAAACCTGCATATGCCATCAAAATCCTTTAAATACTTGGTGTTTTAATACATGGAATTAAAAAGGAAAATATGGTAGCTCATACCATAAGATCTAGCGTTTGCTAGAATATCTTGGAACATGTTATGAACGTCGATGAAAACGAATCTAGAACCAGGAAGATTTGCGCTTAGGTTGTTGATCATGGTCTTCATGTTTGCATTGAAAGGTAGGACAAGCTGGTTTACTTCATCGGAGCATCTTCCTGTAGTACCTTGCGCTAAGATGCTAGGAATACAACCCATCAACCCTAGCCCCGCTAGAACAAACTTCCGAGCTCCAAGATTGTAAAGTTGCTATATTATATTATATTATATTATATTCAACAAAACAAAACAAAACTTAATTCCAATGAATACAAACGTACAAATATGTTTACGAATTAAGCTTATATATAAAGTTTAAGAACTTACACGAAGTTGAATGGTGTATTCTTCGGACAAAAGATCAGCATATTGGTTGCCATCGTACTGGTTTCGAGTAGGGTAATTGGGCATGAGATAGTTGTTTAAATAGTCATTACTTCCCATTCCTACAAAGAAAATGCAACGAGAGAGAGCCTGACCAAGATTTGCTCTACCCAATGCATTACTTATTTGATCCAAACTATTTTCGAAGTTCTTTATCTGTTGATTGAACGGGATTCTACCCACCTACAATCAAGAATTTATTATCCGATTAGCACGACACACATACCACTTTTAGAAGTCGCGAAAATGATGAGTTAGTTATGACCACCAATTATGATCCAAATCTACCTTTAAAAAGCTAAACAACTTGCACCTACCAGTACCTTAAAGTTGGTAACTTTAGCAACTATAGAAGATAATCTTGATCTATCAAACTAAGGGAAATTTGAGCTTACAAAATTTCGGCCTGTGATGTCGAGAATTCCAGCGGCAGCAGATGCGAAATTGACACCATGAAGCATTTGATCTGCGGAACTCGAAGCTTGCGAATAGGCTGGTATAAGTGGCAATCCCAGTAGTTCCGCTGCATTACAAATCCCACATTTTAGAGATCAATATATACTCGAAGAAACACACACACACACACACAGAGGATATATATATACGAACCTATAGCATCAACCATGGTGAAACCGTTAGAGAATCGGCCTGTAGGACCTCCATTAAAGTCAATGCCATAAGGGAAATAATTGGCTTTAGCTAAAGAAGCCAAGTCGTTGTTGTTTCCATTGTCAATGAGTGAGTCTCCAAATATGAACATTGCCGGCACCATTTCTGTAGCTGCTGCTGCCGCTGCTGCCTCCGGCGCCGCTGCGTCAAAAACGCCACCACCATCTTGGCCGTAATCTTGTCCACAGACTACATGATTCCCACCACTTAACAACGTCATTGCAGTTGCCAACAGTACCCATAATAAGCAACCCATACTCATACGTTAGATTTTCTGTGTCGCTTGTGAGAAAGAGGAAGTGGAAAGTGAAAGTGGAAATGGGATTCACAAAAACTTGGCTGTGGGGGTAATTATAAAGGGAAATTTACTAGCGGTGGTTGAAGGTTATTAAATGTTTTCACCTGTAAATTTTGAATAGCAGTAAGTGTGGCCTGCACCTTTTGTTATCTCTTTACCACTGGCCATTCTTGATCATTATGTTGGGGGTTGTACGTAGGCACAGGATATGTTTGCTCCAATATTACAAAAAAAAAAAAGTGTTTTGTAGTTAATTTCATAAAAAAAAAAAAAAAGTACGCAATCACTGAAATGCATGAATACTAAACGAACTGTTTTTCAGAGATATATATTCCATTTTGTAAGACAATGTCAACTACTAATTAAGGTGTCGCAAAAATCTTGGCTCACCATTTACGACCTGTCCAATTTTAAGATCCGTGATTAGCTTCTTCAAGGAGACTGTAAAATGGATGGTGAGTGGTGATTAGCCGTAATTAAGTTAAGTTATTAATTTGGTTTTTTTTTCTCATTTCGGTTATAATTTTACTATTTTAGGTGTTGAAGGGTATATTTTAGTAAGAAATTAATTAGTGAGAGTAAATGAGGGAAGGTGTTGGGAGATGCGTTGGGAATATAAATGTAAATGAAGAGGGAAATTGCATGTGGGAGCAACTAACGGCATGTAAATTGCATGTTGATTCATATGCGGACGCATATGACATGTGAAGCCTGGCCTCATCTCATTAATTCACTTTATCTGCTCTTGTAGTCAACAACACCTTCGTAACCCTACGGGCTAGACTTGGCTGCTACCTATATATTTCTTGACTTTAGGTGGAAGTGTTTGTGGTTTTGAGCGGCTAAACAAGGATTTTTTTTTTTTTTTTTTTGTAAAACTAGATTGATTTTTAAAACTATCGGTAGAAAATTATTGGTAGAAATAGTTTAGCTAAATTTAAGGTTCAACATAACATTTCTAACCCTTTAGAGCATGTGGTATGGCTAAAAACGAAAAGCAACAAGCTGATATGATATGCCTCAACGGTATCATGACGGGGGACACCGCCCCCAACTCGTTGAAACTCGTTAGGGTGGATTTTGTGGTAACGAGGACGAGATAAAACAAGAAAAATGATTGGTTATCTTCTTCATCAACCAATCAAATAATTTTCTCTATTTTTTCTCTCTACCTCTTAACATGATATAACATTTGAAACATCATTTCCCCCTTTGTGTTATGATGGTGTTATGGATGAGATGACACCAATTTGATGTTATATCCTCTTATCCACACTCAATGTTTTTACATGTTAAACTCTTCATTCTCTCTTTTAGAACACATTAGACTATAGGGTGTGGCATGTTGATTTGGCAACCTTTACCGACGTTAGACACCACCCCTCATTTAAATAATTTGTCGGTGGTAATTTCACAAGTACACTTCCACCTCTCTCTCTCTCTCTATCTCTCTCCATTATTTACCATTCAAATTCATTATTTTGCTCTTTTCCTTTTGCCAGTGGTAAACACAAACAACACATCCTAACCATTTTTAAAAGTTGAAAAATGACAAAGATTATATAATCAGTCTAAGATGACGTCTGTAAAAAGATATACGACACCCCACAGTCTAATAGATTATACATTTTAGATCAAATATATTTATATTTCTAGCCCTTTACATGCTACAACTTTAGTCATCAAACTGTTATATTAGTTTTTGTTTATATATTTTATTGTTAGATAATTCGACTTTTACTCTTACTTTATATTATATACAAATTAACTTATTTCAGAAGAAGTTACCATTACAATTTATATATTATTTTTAGCAAATTATATCATTAAATAGATCTTACAAATACCTAATATTAAATATATTACAATGTCATGAAATTACAAGATCAATTAAAAACATTATTGCAAAATGAAGTAAATGAAAAATTACAATATGAATTAAAAACTAAATTATAAGATTTGTAAAAGTGTTTTTTATCGTTTTCGTTTAGTCTTAGATACGAGAAAATATTCAGTCTTAAATGTCCAATATGTATAGTCTGAAATTAATTAATTTATTGTTTGAAATACATGTTTAAGGGTGATTTCTATAAAATAAATACATTTCTAAGGGCAATTTTTGTCAATATATATGGAATTTATGTTTGAAATGTATAGTCTAAAATGTTTTTTCATCAGTATGGATGTAATACCTGTTCTCCAAAGCATGACCATGCTTGCTAGTTTTTCGTTTAAAGATGAAATTGTAGGCTTTAGGCATAAGCACAATACACCTAAGTATGGATGCAATGCTTCCTAGCTGGCAAATGAATCCCTAATTTCCGAGCTTTGGGCCCTTTTAAGGGCTCTAATATCTAGGGTTGCTTCCATTCTTCGCCTCCAACGCTTCCAAACTCATGATACTCAAAACCTTAGCATCTCTTACATTGTTTTTCCTTGAAGTTTGGTGTTTATATGCTTTTTATTTTTATTTTTGAAGGAGTTAGTCATTTGGTACCCTGGGAAGCAAGATCCATCTAAATTCTTATCTCTTCTTCAGCCACTAAACCCTTGTGAGGTATAAAGTCTCAACCTTTATGTGATTTGCTTCCTAGATCTAGGTATTTGGACATATTTTAGTCCCTTTCATGTAATTGGATAGTGTTGGGGCCAGGTCCTCAAAGATTAGCTTTTGGTCTTCTAAACCCATTATGGTGAAAAGAATGAATTTCTATCTTACCTTTTCGTCCATACATGAATTTAGTAGCATTTGACCTTTTCTAGGATTAGGGTTTGAGATATGGCTTGTTAAGGACTTGTAAATAGATAAAGTTGGAAACTTTAACTGTTAATACCTTCTTATGATTCAGATATGAGAGTTGGAGCCTCTGGCTGTAACGTCCCAAAAATACTAAATGGAAGTTTTTGCTTTTAAAACACCTAAAATATTTATTCATTCATTCCCAAAAGATAATCAGAGTGTAATGTGTAATCAAACATCAAATATAAGTTATAAAAGATAATATGGAAAAACTTTGGGGGATACAGTACGATCAAGTTGGGGGTCGAGGCTTTCCCTTTCGAACCAAAAGTACTTGAAACATTTAAACAAAAAAACGTAAGCACAAAGCTTAGTGATTTTCCAAAATACCACATACCATACATAACCATAAACATGCAACTCAACATGTTTTAGCCATCAGGCCTATTTCATCCCAGGTGAAATGCTATGGGCCAAACCATAGACTTATAATCACTCCTGCAACGGCCAATTTCATGCCAAGTGAAAGCTACATGCAAAAATCATAGTCTTACAACACTTCTGCAATTGGCATGGCCTTCCCCCATGGACTTTCATGCAAACATAACAGTAAGAGTCATAAAGACAACAAGCACATCTAACACCTAGTATCCTACATAGTATAATGAGAAAACTCACATCGTTGATGCAGTCAACAACTAACAATCTCACACAATCACAACGCTGATGCTATATACCTCCTACAAAATCATACAAGGTACCCTTATTCTACCTTCTAAATTAGTATTTTGAGTAAAAGTAACGGTCAAGGTCAACAGTTAAAGTCAACTCCATCTGACCTCCATGTCATGGCCAACCAATGGCTACATCATGGCCATCTAACTTAATCCCGATCAAAATCCACTACCACATCATGGCAAGCATGCCACCATGCCGTGGTAGAGTCCAGACAAAACAGTCATGACCAAACCATCCTCCACGTTGTGGAAAGCAAGTCGTCACGTCTTAGGAACTGCATAGAGACAATTTCATGGATTAAGCTCTCAATCAGTTAAGCCTTCAGTTCTAACTTTCAGAATGCTTCTTGGGACCTTAATAGTTTAGTAAAATACGGACTTTATGGACATGCATGACCCATGCATGTACTTCACCCCATCTAGGTCAAAATGATGAGAAAAGGACCTAAAACACATGCACGACTCTCAAAACCCATTCAACTTCTAAATCCTGGAGATATAGTGACCAAAGGACCAAGGTGATCCATAGGCTTGCAAACTTTATCTCATCTCACCACTTAAACTTCATAAATGGACCAAAACATGCTAAGAAGCTAGATCTACAAGAAAGGAATCATAAAAATGGGAACTTGAGGACTCACAACTATTCCAGAAGATGCACAAAAGAATGGAGGTGGCATGCTTGTTGGATTCAATCATAAGAAATTCCTTTTTCTTCCTTCCAAGGTCATAAAAACACCAAAGATGAGCTCAAAACTTGCAATGGGGCTAGGGTTTTATCTAGGGCACTTTGGAGGTGATGGAGGCTAAGGGTGGGAGGAACCCTAACCATCAGTTCCCTTAAATAATGCAAAAAAACCCGAAAAATTTAAGGGTTTGCCAAAAATAAGTCGCCACATCATGAAAAATGCATGGCCACGCTGTGGCAATCATTTAATGCATGTGTGGCCTTCGCAGGATGCCAAGTCATGTTGATCCCTTCACTAAGTTGTGGCCATCAGAATTTTCAAAAACGAAATATAAAAATTATACATGTAATTCGGGTGTTACACTGGCTTAATGGATTAAACACTTATTGGAAGAAAGAATTTGCCATGTATAGCATGACACGCCTTTTCCTTGGCACGGTGCGCTTCATGAAGAAACTCGACTATTTTGTCTTTTTGTGAGTAGAGAGCTCCTTTTGTGGTCATGACGCATCCCATTGACTTTAACTTTTTAACCAATTTAAATTTTGGTCAAATTTTGAGAAATTGAGCCATAGGTTAAGGTTTGACCTCTGGTTGTTATTTAGGTGGTTTGTGTCAGTTAATTCTTTTGAAGAGGTTGTTGTTGATTTTCTGTTGCTAGTCTTGTAACACCATAAATTTTCAAACAAAAATTTTAATTTAAAATTCACTTTAATCTCATTAACACAATCACAAAACCCCCAAAAATATCAAGTTATCAAAACACATGTTCATAAATTGTTTAAAACACAATCCAGGATCCTCCAAAACATATCTCCAACTCGTGTGTGTACAATCAAGTCGGTGCCTTCCCGTGATCCTAACAAGTACCTGAAACACATAACACATAACATGGTAAGCATGAAGCTTAGTGAGTTCCCCAAAATACCACACATATCTCATTAGCCTCTCATGGATATACCCAAATAAGACCCTCCAGTTAATGTGTCTCAGTGGGACCCTCCAGTCCCACATCTCAGGTGGACCCTCTGATCCTAACTCAGTAAGTTCAGGATAGTACACATCATAAATCACAAAGACATAATACAGGATATCACAATACC